TCTATCTAGAGGCTTTTTGACATAGACCTTCCATTCATTCTGTATGTTTTCAACAGCAAATTGCCCCAAGGGATCACCTCCTAAACCAATCAATAAAAATGTGTCATTCAAGCAAAAGTGACAATTCAACTATTTAGGTTAAAGGGTGAACAGGAAGTAAAAACAAAAACAAGCAAGCAAACAAACAAAAAACAGATCCTCCATAATACACACCCACTGTGGCTTTGTACAAAAAAATTGTAATTCCTTTGTTCAAAGTAGTTAGTTTAAAAGAAGACTCATACAAGGAATTTAAGTGCAGTCGCTATTAGCTGTTAAGGTTACCATGGCGATTAATGAAACACTACAGAAGACATCATATTAAAACACCTATGCTAAACAAGAAAAACATTAAATTATTCTACTACTGAAGATTAATTTAAGGTACATTTCATCTATTATTCTACTATATTACTCTATTATTCTATTATATTACTGAATATTTTTGTTGTAGTTTTTAATTGCACTCTTTATTTCAGTGCACGTACAACTCCTGTAGAATTCAATATATATCAAAAGACAAAAAACATTCTAATAGAACTATCTTTAAGCCAGGCACATAAATGAAAAGAAGAGATATTCTGATGGCTTTTGAGAGTTTAAAATTTTTTTTTAGTTTTGTCTCAATTATTTCTAATTATTTTCTCACAAAACCCCAAGTTCAAATTTGTGTAATCTTACATTTCACTATATCATTCTAATTTTATAACTCAAGTTAATACTTTGATATGTTTTAAAAGATTTACCTGTAATGTAAAAAGTGACTTGTCTGTTAGATTCCTCTGTATCAGCATCAGTAGTACTCAAGATGGCAATTATACCACCAGGTGGATCATCCTCACTGACTGTCCCCTTGTATATCTCTGCTGTAAAACGTGGAGGGTTGTCATTTATGTCTGTAACCATAACTTCAACCACTGTCACCGAAGACAACTGATTTTTTTCACCACGATCAGATGCAATCACTGTAATTTTGTACTTATTACATTGCTCATGATCAAGCTCTTTGAGGGTGGAAATCCAACCAGTCTCCATGTTTATGGCAAAAGACTCTATGACTGCCAGTTCTTGTGATGGATCTAGACTATATGTAACTTGCCCATTGATTCCTGAGTCCAGGTCAGTTGCTTTTACCTGGATGACTCTTGTTCCAGCTGGTAGGTTTTCTACGATGAATGCTTCATATGGATTGGACTCCAAAATAGGTTTATTGTCATTTGCATCTTTTACTTGAATGCTTACATCTACTGTGGAAACAACACTGTAATCTTCATTCATATACTGTGCCAGCACTGAAAACTGATACCACTTAGTTGTCTCATGATCAAGACGCTTCTCCAGTTTCAACCTTCCATTTTGGCTATCAATCACAAAGAATTCATCCCTATTGCTTTCAGGAGTGTTGCCTTTTATCAGACGATAGACTAATGTCTGATTATGGACTGCCTGTATAGTGTCAATCTGTGCTCCAATAGGAATGTCCTCAGAAACGGTGTAAGAATAAAATGGCTCTGAAAATTTTGGAAGAGACACTTCTGGTGGCAGTATTCTAATATAAACAGGAACAACTGACTCTTTTTGTGGGGATCCACCATCTACTGCTCTAACAAAGAAAGTTAGAAACTCATTTTCTAAACCAATTAAGCTTTCTTTTGTAGTAATAATACCAGATGATGCATTAATTTCCAAATTCTCTTTAACACTTTCAGACTCTGCTTCAATGGCATATGTAATATCTGCATTCGTACCTTCATCAGCATCAGAGGCCAAAACTTTGATGACGGATGTACCTCTTGGAACATTAGAACCAATATTTACTTCATATTCTGTTGCTCGGAATTGAGGGGCATTATCATTATCATCTGTAAGTATCACATTTACAGTGCAGAAAGCAACTTTTCCTCCAGCATCCTTGGCCATTAAACTAACAGCAATTACTTTTTCTGTTTGTTTTTCACGATCAAGTTTTTCGGAAGTAAATATCTGCCCTCTCCCATCAGTATAAAATCTATCTTTGGCAAAGTCATTTACAATATGGTAAGTGATGCGGCCATAAGTACCAGAATCCTGATCTGTTGCTTTAACTTCAGTCACCAAGGTATGCAATGGTGCATTTTCAGCTAGTTCAACCTCATATTCATTTTGACTGAAAATCGGGCTATGCAAATTTGCTCCAATTACAGTTATCAGCACTTGAGCTGAACTTCTGAAGACCCCATCAGACACAGACATGTTAAGATTGTAATGCGGCTTCAAGGCTTGTTTATGCAGGTTTGAGATAGTGATGATACCAGTTTTGCTGTTAATTGCAAAATTCATGTGATCATTGCCTGTTAGAAATGAGTATTCCAATTTGTCTACATCTGAATTGTCTGCATCAAAGGCTTTTACACAGGTTACAAAATGTCCATGGGGAGCCAGTTCACTAATTTTAGCTTCATAAAGCAACTGGCTGAATATGGGCGGGTTATCATTGAGGTCAGTTACATCAACTGTTACAATGATGTCACTGCTCAGTGGAGGCATTCCACTGTCTATAGCCCTTACTAGTAATTTGTGTTGCTGCGTCTGTTCATAATCCAAAGATCTTGCTGTCAGAATGAGCCCAGTGCTGCTACCTATGTGGAAATAATCATGGCTCTTGCTATTATTCTCAATCAAGTGATAGGAAATTCCTCTGTTTGTTCCAGAATCAGCATCAGTAGCACTAACTTGAATAACAGATGTTCCAATTACAGATGCTTCAGAAAGGGTTGCAGAATAAGATTGCTTTTTAAACACAGGAGGATTATCATTGATATCTTCCACTATTATGTCTACAAACACTTCAGCATGAACACCAGTTAACGAATCAGTTGCTCGAACACTTAATTTATAGGCTGGATGGGCTTCAAAATCTAAAGGAGCAACAACATTTATTACCCCAGTATTGAAGTTGATAGTAAACTGATTGAAAGGATCTCCATCTGTGAGACTATAAAATACCTTAAGTCCTTCTGGGCTGTTTGCTTGTATATGAACAACAGGGCTATGCAGCTGGATGTTTTCAGGTATCTCAGCACTATAAAAAGGCTTCTCAAAAACTGGCATGGCTTTATTCATTACAGTGATTGGGACTATAACTTCAGTAGAAAAGGCTGGGTCTCCCCCATCTTTTGCCACCACTGTGACAAGATACTCCTTATTCAGTGTGTCCAATTCAAATGGCTTCTTGAGTGAGATCTCACCAGTAGGTCCAATTTGGAAGTGTTCATGATGTTCTTTAAGGTAGTAATGAACTTGTCCATTTTTACCCATGTCTTTATCTACAGCAGTGACATGCCTAACAATATGACCTACTTCAGAGTCTACTTTAACAACAGCATAATATGGAAGATTGACAAAAACTGGAGCATTATCATTTATATCTTCTACTGTGACTTTCACCACAACGTGTGCAACTACTGATGGTTTACGCTCCTCTGTCACTTCCACCACTACATCAAAAGATTCTTGTTGTTCGCGATCAAATGGTATTCCTGTGGTTGAAAGTACTCCTGAAGTGTAACTTATTTTAAATCTGCTGTCTGGGTTTAAAATATGATAAAACAAAGGCTCATTCATTTGATTTCCTATAGCAGTAACAACAGCTATTGTTTTTGCCTCAGTGGAATTCTCTTGCACTACTGCAGAATAGGAACTTTGGGTGAACTTCAGTGGACTTGCTTTGGTTTCTTTCACGTGAATTTTTACAGATGCAGTACTTGCAAATCTGCCATCAGATGCTCTGACTGCTAATTCATACCTGCTTCTTAACTGAGTTGTATTTTGTATTGTTATAACTCCAGTCTTAGAGTCTACTGAAAATTTTTCTCCAATGTTACCTTCAGTGATTGAATAAATCAATTGTGAAAAAGCTCCTGAATCAGCATCGGTAGCATTCACAGTGATGACTTTCACTCCTTTATATGTTGGCACCAAAATGGATGTCTCATACAAATCTTTTGAAAAAACAGGAGGGCAATCATTGATGTCAATTACATAAATAGTAACATTAGCTGCATATTCAGCAAATAAACGTGGTGCCCCCTTATCATGCACTTGTACTGAAAAGTGGAAAATGTTTGTCTCCTCATAGTCCAGGCTTGTTACAGTCCGAATGGCACCAGTACTAGAATCAATGGCAAAATACTTATGGACAGATGGTTCAACAATTTGATAAACAAGCAAAGCATTTGAATCTTTATCAGCATCTGTAGCTCGAATTACCAAAGGGATATTCTTGTCTGTCAGAACCACACTATTAATTGAAGCAGATTCACTGACGAGCCCTATATATTCTGCCTGCGTAAAAACTGGTACATTATCATTCTCATCCTGAAGATGCACCAAGACAGTATTATTAGTGGACACGCCAGCCATGTTGGTTCCCTGAACAGTCAGTGTGTAAACAGGTAAGGTTTCAAAATCAAGAATCTTCTGAGAAGTGACAACTCCTGAGTTTGGATTGATATCAAAGGCATCCCCTATATTGCCATCTTTTATCTCATAAACCACGGAAGACTGACTGTATGCTGTAACCATTCCAACAAAACTACCAATGCTAGCACCTTCACTGATTTCTGTAAAATATTCCTTTGATGTGAATTTTGGTGCAGCATTATCAGAAACTGTGACAAATATCTGAACAGAAGTTACTTCACTCAGTGGAGGATTTCCCTTATCTGTAGCTTTTACCATTAAATTGTATTCTTCTCGGCTACTACGATCAAGTTCTTTTGCAATTTTAACTGTGCCCAAAATAGGATCTATAATGAAAGAATTTCCAACATTCCCTGTGGAGAGAAATGAAAAGAAATATAATTAATAAAGAAGCAGATAAAACTGTTCAGAAATTAAGAGCATGTGCCCATTTGTCCAAAAACTAAAAGCAGATGAACAGGAGAAAGTCAGGTGATTATGGAGCATAATTTCTAAATGTTTTAATTACTAGCCATTCCAAAAAAAAAAGAATTTTCCTATAAGCAATAGTTAGCACTGACTTTCACCTTTCTCAAAGCTATTTTGCATTTACATGGTTTATAACTTCCTAGCCCTAAAAACAGAATATGAAAATGCAGCTTCTTTTATAAAATTGGACAATTTTAAGTGTGCCACAGTTTCTATAAACTTCAAAATTAAAATTGATATTACCTAGATTTCAGGAGGGTGGACTTCAATGAGCTAAGGAG